ATATAGAGAACTGCATCTTCTTCTAGTTTATCTTTATATCAAAACAAAACAGATAACTCTTACTATTAACCTTAAAATATATTTAAAGTATCTCAAGAGCAATTTTTTGAAATAGACCTTGTTTCTCTTTCAGAAGCACAGATAGAAGAGTAATTTTATAATAAGAAAAAGCTTCACATCCAGAAGAGCCAACTCAAGAAACAAATCTAATAGTATTATTCAAGAAATCTTTACTCTAACTGAAACCTTTAAATTATCAAAAAATAATCAAGAATAATTTGACAATAATTATCTCCACAAGGCTTATCTGAAGATAATTTACTACTGTATCAGCAAATTTAATAGAGCATAATATTGTACAATAAATTATGCAATGTAAAATAGCCGTAATATTATGCAAAATATTGTGCAATAATGTGAAATATATAATTACAAAATATTATATAAAATTATTATAAAATATTATGTAAAATATTGCGAAATATTTTACAATATTTTATGCAATATTAAAATAAAATTTGATATAAATTAAAAAATCTAACATCCTATAGATAGACTTTACTAAAATTAATTCAAAATAATTCGTATTAGTTCAATTTATTTAGTAGAAAATTATAAATAGCGAACCTATATGATCAGCCAATCAATTTTAAAATTGACGATCAAGAATTTATTTCAGTTTTTTTTTAATATTTGTTGTTTTGCTTTTTGTACTTTTGGTTTGTTTTTTGTTTTATTGTTTTGCTTTTTTTAACTTTTGCTCAACTTCAGTACCAGGTATATAATATACTTTTAATTTTTTTAATTTGTTTTTTTTTATTAAAATTAACATTTTTTGAATTTTTTTTTATTGCTTTTTTTTTTTTGTTTTTTTTTTTTGCTTTTTCTGTTTTCTTTTATTTTTACTTTTATTTTTTTTTTTTGTCTTTTTCTTCCTTTTGTTTTTTGTTTTTGCTATTTTTTTTGTTTATTCTTCTTTTTCTTTTCTTTTTTCTTTGCATTTTTTTTCTTAACTTCTTTTTTTACTTTTGTTTTTTCTTCTATTCTTTCTTCTATTCTTTCTTCAATTATTTCTTTTTCTATCTCTTTCTTTTTTGATTCTTATTCTTTTTTATATTCGTTTTTTTCTTTCTTTAGCCTTTTTTGGTTTATTTCTTGTTCTTTTATTTATTCCCCCTTTTTTTCTTGTATTTTTTTCTTTTATCTCTTTTTTTGTTTGTTCTTTTTCTTTTGCCTTCTTTTTTCTTTTTTTTGCTTTTCTTATTTTTCTCTTTTTTGTATTTTCTTTTTTTTTCATTTCTTATTCTTTTTTTTTCATTCTTCTTTTTTTTTGTTCTTATCTTTTTCTTTTGTTCTTCTTTTTATTTACATTTCTTTTGTTCTTCTTTTATCTTTCTCTTTTTTTTTTGTTTTTCATTTTTATTCAGTATTCTTTTTTTCGTTCTTACCTTTTTCTTTCATTCTTTCTTTTACCTTTATTATTCCTATTTTTTTTCTTCTTATTTCTTTTATACTTTTTTTATTCTTTTTTGTTTTTCTAGAGTTTCCTTTTTTTTCATTCTTATCTTTTTTTTGTTCTTTTGTTTGTTTTTTATTATTTATATTTTCTTTCTTTTTTCTCACTTTCTTTTTTTCCTTTTCTTCTGATTTTCTCTTTTTTTTACTCTTACTTTTTTTTTTAGTTTTTCTTTATCTTTTGTTCTTTTTTTTTGTTTCTTTTTCTTCTAAGTTTCCCTTTTTTTTTTCTGCTTCTTTTCATTTTCACTTTTCTTTTTACTTCTTTTTTTTTCTCTGTTTCTTCTCACATTCTATTCTTTTTTCTTTATTTTTTTCTTTTTTTTTCTTTTTTTTCTCTTTTCTTTCTTCTTTTCACTTTTTTTTTCTTTTTTTTTTATCTCTTTCTTGTCTTTTTTTTTCATTAACTTAACTAACACTTTTTTTTTATAAATTTAGCTTTCTCAATCATCCTTAAAATTGTCATTCTTGGAATCGTCATTCTTTAGGGTGTTGTTTTTTGAAGTCATTATTTTTTGGAGTTGTCATGCTTCAATCTTGGAGTCATCACCTTGGAGTCGGTGTGTGATTTGGAACTTTTATTGTTAGAAGATTTGTTGTTGGACTTTTGTAGCTGGAGTTTTATCTTTGGTTCTTTTATGCTGTTAGAACTTTTATTACCATTGATATTTCTATTAGATCGTTGCTTTTTCAAATAAAACGAGTGGGGTAGGTGGGTAGGTTTTAAATATTAGTAGATTAGATATTTGTTGCATAATGAATTTTTGTTATGCAATGATGTTTATACTATAATACATTCATCTTGTAATTTTATATATATATATATATTTTTTTTAAATAAAAATAACATAAAATTTTTTTTTTAACTTTTGGCAACCTTGCAGGTAATCTTTTATTAAAATTATTATATAAAAAAGTTATATAATGTTGAGCTTAATATCTAGGCCTGACATCTTTTGGCTGTCTCTATAGATACCCAAAAGTGGTCTGTTGCACTAGGTAGAGTTTTATATTCTCTGACCTAGAAAGCTATTATCAAGTTGCCTCAGAAGCTTTAGAAACCTCAAGGAGGTTTCGATTTAAGTTTGATGAGTTAAGTTTACCTGAATATCCTTCTGCTATACTATTAACTAATTCTATTCTAACTAATCCTAATTCTATTTGACTATCTAAAATAATTTTCTTTTGTAAAAATGCTATACTATCTAATTCTAACCTAATATTCTTTCTTTTTTTCTTTCAGTTTTTTTTTATTTTTTTTACAGATAACTTAACTCTTAATTCTTTTATGCTTCTCTTTTCTTCTTTATTAGTTAATTCTTTACTCTGTATTAGAGCTTTCTTCTTTACTTTTTTCTTTCTATTCTTCCAATTCGTCCTAGTTTTCTTACTTCTTCTTGCTTGAACTAGCAGTCTTTTCAAATCTATTAAAATCTCCTTTAATAGTTTCTTCTGAAATATCTTCAATTCATCTTCTAACTGGTTAGCTTTCTTCTTTTCACTATCTAAAAGTTTCTTCTCTAATTTGTCGTATAGTTGAAGATAGCTTATTATTAATTTTCCAAAAAGATACTCAAGGTCTTCTCTTCTTTTTTTTTTTGAAGCTTCTCTTGTTTTTCTTTTTTTTCTCTAAGATCTGATATCCACTTCTTGTATTGATATAGTTCCTCCAAATAGTATTCTAAGTAGTTATTGGATAAAGTTTCTTCCTTGTTTATAGGTTTCTTTACTTTATTTTCATCGTTTCTTCTTTCTTCATCTTCTTTATAAATTATTACTTCAATGTTTCTCTTCTCTTTCTGATTTTCTTCTAAAATGTATATATATACTTTTTTGATTTGTTAAAAAGAATTTTCTATTCTTTTCTTTTTTTGTTGCGATTTCTGCTCTAAACTTTCTTGTCTACAAGTTTGGATCCATATTCTATCTTGCTCTAATTTCTCTATATAATCTTATATCTTCATTTCAAATACCTCTGTATTTGTTAAATTTTCTAAATTCTCCTTATCGTTTTCTCTATCATTTTGTAATAAAAGAAATAAATTTTCTTGTTCAAGTTATTAAATTAAACTTTCTTCTATATCTTTTCTTTGAAGTGCATGTTGTTCTTCTCTTTT